TGATGCTCAAACACACTTCGGTTATGCAGCAGGACAATGATCCAAAACACACCAGGTTCACTTTTGAATGCCTCATAAAAGCAAGTTTAAGCTTTTACTAGTCAAAGTCCAGAATCAAATCCAATTGAGGTGCTTTGGCTTGCCCTTAAACAGGCCATTAATGTTGGAAAATCCAGTTTGGCCTAACTTAAAAAAATTCTGCAAAGAGGAGTGGCCGAAATTCCTCCAGATTGAAAGACTCAATGACTATAATCACAAAGGCTGCCATGAGGACACAACCAGTTATTAGGCTCAGAGGGCAATTACTTTTTCACACAGGGCCGAGTAGATCTCAATAATTTTGTTCCTTTTAATAAAAAATGCTTTGCCCATATTGTAGAAAATGCTCAATAACACACACGTCATCAAATGAGGGTCTATTATCTATATTCATTCTAAGTGTTACCATAATGTTGAGTTGAAGAGTTGAAATAGTAAGGACATAAATGAAGTGTAAAACGTTAGAGCCTCAGCTTGTTTTAATATGTGTGATAATGTTAGCCTCTTTTGCTGCAGTTTTCATACGTACCTGTGCTGAGTTGTCTGTCAAAACTGACAGGCAGATGGATGGAAGGAAGATTTTCTATATTATTTTTTTCCTGCCCCAAAGGTTTCCTCACTGCCTGCAAGTCTGTCCACCTATCTCAGCCCTCCCCCCTTCCCCGCCTCTCTGCCTTCACCTGTCAGCGTCTGCAGATAGCACATTACATGCAAACTTGAGCTGTTCCACCAAACACAGGCTCGTATGAGGACTGTGAAAACAATACAGCGAGATGACCTTAATATCAGATGTTCGGATTACAACAAAATTCAAGCATATGATTGCGAGACAATAGCTTAAATTACATCTGTGAAAGCCACAATACTGTTATAATTTCAGGCATGACAAATCAGTTTGGAACTCGACATTTTTACCCGTCTGAGTGCAACAGTGCAACAGCAATTTCAGGCTTTTTGAAATCCTTGTCACACTTGGAGTTTTACCTGCCAGAGGAACACTGCATTTATAATTTCAAGTGTTTGTGAAAGCAGACGTGTGAGCGGGCACTTCTTACCCCTCCCGCTTTCATCGAGAGGAAACTTCTCACAGGGTAGATCAGACTACTTTTAAATGACACTGGGACTGCATGAATTGAATATATATGGTTATCTGAATATTTGAATATTTTGGTTGGGGCAAAGTTAAAGTTAGTTAACGTCAAGTTAAATGAAAGATTTTAGGCACGATGTTTCATCTCACCGTGGGATTGCATATCTTAAAGTCTCAACAGATTTCTCTGCAAACAGAAAATGAATGCACAAAGGAGACAAGTCTTGAGTTTAGCAATTTATCTTTTGGAATTGCTCCTGTTTTGCACATGCATTAGGCTAATAATCTCTGCTGCCTTTAAGGACAAACTGTGGTCAAATTAGATTCAGTGAACAGCAGTGATATATTTTAGCAAAGTGGCCAGTCCACTTTAATTAGTCTTTTTGCTGTTTTTTTGTAATTTAATGATGTAATTCCAAGAACTTTCAATTACTGGCGATTAAGAGGCAAGTGTTTTTATTTATGATAAGAACTTTTTTTTCTTCTGCCAGCTCAAACATTTACAGAAAGAAAGAAATCAGCTGCTGGACTAGACATAACACAAGGCAGGAGGCCTGGGATGTACACCAACTACAAATTCTCCATTTATATAGTAAAGTAATTGTAGCTGAATTCTTTAACCCTCTCCAGCCACAGCTGCTTGCAACTGTAGAATTTTACCCCCATTAGAAACGACAGTATGGAGATCAAATCTGACAGCTGGGAGGCTCTAGATGTGGGAGCAGTCAGTCTTTATTTAAAGGTAATCTTGGCAAATCATGGAGCAGACATGGATTTTATAATAACACAACATTTCTGGGGTTTTTATAAATGATCTTGTAACTTTTTAACCACTAGATACAGATGGCACACTGTCGCTGATAAAAATGTAAATCAAATGAAAACTTGGTTGGAATTTGAAAACTGAACACCGTGGTACGAGTGCATCGCAGTGCCCAGATACAGTTAATCACATCTCTGCTGTTCAGACTGTTGGCTCTCGTTATCGTCTCCGGGGAGCCTGACTGATCTATAAATAGCCCCAGATGCAGGTGTATCTTTATTGGAGTGAAACTTCTCCTTCACTAAGCCTCACCTACTTGCATTTGATAAGCACGAGAGAGCTGATTGTAAGCACTATTTCTGAATTCAAGTCGGCAAAAGACGGCTTAAAGCCATCCACCTGTTAATCTCGAGCAGCTTAAACCGCAAACTGCAGCGTCGCCTCGGAAAGCTAGAACCGCTTTGATTTGCATTGCACTAAAATACAGGCAACTTTTAATATTGAATATGACTGCAGACATGTTTTTAAACAGCCTGCTGCAAGATTTCATATTTAAATGAGGAAATTAAGGAATAATAAGCATTGCCTTTTCACGCCTGGCATTTTAAAAAAATTACATTTAGTTGTGCCGCTCAGTATGTAAATGAGCCTCCAGCACACCATTCGGTATAATTAAAATTTAAATGTCTCTATGCAAATAGATGGTTAGGCTTACAGTTAAACTCTGAACAGTGCTCTTTATCTGTGCTTTAAACAGATTTCATTTTATACTCACTCGCTGAAAGTCAACAGCGTCAGACAGCACAGAGTTGCTTTGTTTTGAAACAATTTCTTAGGAGGAGGGTGACGTGCTCTCGCTTTCCGCTCTGAACTTATTCATCATATGCGGGGAGGCATCCTCTGCCTTATACCAGTCATGGTAATTTTTCAGTCTGATGGGGCCCGGTACACCTACAACAACAGGCTCCGTTTACGTGCATTCACTCTGATCTGCGCTTGACCTTCCTCTGCAGACACAGTGACTTTAAAAGCCTTTTATGTGATCCCGGGGAGGTTTTAAGGAGAGCACGAGCGTCTCAGCCGTGCCCCCTCAGGATACTGTTAAACACCTATAAACTCTTTAAAGGGATACTTCAAATCAAGAAGTCAAATTTCTCCATGATGCCGCTGCCTCGTGGTGAAACTTGATGACGCACATTAACATCGGAAAAGAGCGAGCGGGGAATGAAAATGAACCAAATGACCTCTGCAAAGTTGAGATAATTATTAAGATTAAGGGAACGGCAGAATTATTTGCTCAAATACTAGACTGTGATTAAATGCTTGTAAATGTCACTTGTTTTAGTACAATTGTAAAGCTAGTGACATGACGTTTTCCCTGGGTCAGAATGAGCCTGTGGTTGACTAACACACTGCAGAACGACCAGAGTGCTGCAGTAAAGTAATAGTAAAATTCTCCATCAGCACCAGTTGATGTTTTAAAGAAAGTAGCAGCTGGCTTACCTGACTAAACATAAAAAACCTTCTACAGGTACTAGTGTACCCCTAACATGTACGGAGGTAAATTCTCATATATTTAGGCCACTAAAATAAAACACACTGATGGCAACAGACACTGGCAATGAGTGCCCATGCTGTTTGGTCTGTTTGCGCAGTTGGCATCCTGCAATGCTTAATTACATTAAAATGTAAAAAACAAAAAGAATAAATCAAAGCTAAATATAATAGTTTATAGAGAGTATAATATATTTAAATCCCTGTGTGATTACGGGACAATGCCAGCTTTCCATTATCTGAAACATAAGCGAACTCCTACACTCGTCAGCCAGACACTATCCACCTCCATTTAGTGTGTGTGAAAAGATTTTACCTTATTACCTTTATGTTTTAGCTTATTTAAATTGCACAGTAATGCCTGTACATAGCGTGTCAGCAAAAACAAAGTGTCTGCTCAAGTTTAGACAAACACCCACATGTATTGTTTTAACCCACTACAAGATCATTAATCAACTTGTCCATCTTCGTCTTGCAAGCTTGCATCCTGTGCAGCCTCGTATGCAAGCAGCAGATAAGAAGTTGTTTTTTCCTAACTTGTACTCCACCCATGAGTGTTACGTGAAAGGGCAGTATATAATAAACTCTGAGTGAATGCCTGGTGCGCTTTGCCTGCTCGTCCTTGTAATTGACAGGACTAGTCAAGCATTCGCCCATGTACATGTATTAATTCTGAGTCTGTGATTCTTTGCTTCCAGAGGTTTTTTCTCCTTACAGTGTGTAATAAAAAATTGGTATTCAAGACTTAAGTAAACACCCATATGGTAAAAAAGGATTTCCGAAATCAACTGTCATTATGTTTGCATGTTTATGCCTTGTGGTTTACCCATACCTGTGAATAACATGCACCTGGCAAAAAAAAAAGCTAAAATTACATGCTTGAAATGGACCCTGCAAAGCTCACGTTTTGTTGTACTGTATGTTGTAGCTTTAGTCTGGTCTTAACACATCATATGATCGTATTAAGGATACCCCTTTTTATCGACATAGAAATAGAAGAAAGCGCCTGAAATTGACTGTTCAGCAAAGTCGCATGGATTACTTGCACATATATCTCAGCTCCCATGCAAACAGAATAGATCCACTTTTACAGAAAAGCTTTTCAGCACTGTGGCTAAAACATCGTTGAGATGCACCAGTTATTCATCTCTCTTTACCTCCTCCTGGTGACTAACTCGCATAGAAGTATCGCCCAACCAATCCTCTGCCACTAATTTACACTGAATGGTCTTGTTGGATAGATTGAATTGCGTTATGAAACTGTGCTGAACTACATGTGTACAGGGGATCATTTTTAATATAAGAACAGCCTGTTTAAAAAAGAAACGACACACAGAGCTCTCAAAACAATTCCAAGTGAAGGGTAATTTCGCTCTGTGGCATGTGTAAAAGAGTAACTGCTTACTGCTAACTTTTCACCATAAGAGTTGTACGGTGGCGCTAGGTCAGTGTTGCTACAGCTTCTTATACTGCCTGAAGATGTCCAAAAATCAATTAAGGCAGTCTTGACATACTGTCTGGGTTTGCAGCCCTAGAGCACAAGTTGTCATTATGTCACTGAGCTTCCAGCAACATCTGTTTTTACAGAATACTTATTTATGTTGCTCTTATAGGTTTATAAAATATTTTGGTCAAGTACCAAGAGAAAGATCTCTAGCTACTTTAGGACATTTGACAGACAGATACAACACACAAGAAACATTGATATGTGCTTCACATTTTCGCAGACCCACATAACCCTCCCTGAGTATGTTGATGTTCAACCATATATACTGTGTGTGATAGCAAGTATGTGATTGTAGCGGTCAGGTATTTAAAATCTGAAGTCCAGGTAGAAGTCTCCTAAATGTATTCATAAGATGATGTTACAGGGTAATGTAGACGTCTGAGGTAGAATGGGTGCATTTCAAAGCCTTTTCAAAATGCACATGTGCCATCATTCAAATGTCAACAAGCTATAAACTTGCAAAATGCAAAGCTGCCAGAAAACAGGACAGGTCCACAGCCGAAATGTCTGCAGCAGTGAAAAGGATGCACCCACGCTCATCACACACACGTCCTCGGCTGCCCCGCAAACCCCTTCCTCCTCCTCTATCTCTTTCTTCACTTCATTACTCATCTTTCAATAATTCGGTTTTAATTTGTTCCATTTTAGCCTTAATGTTGTGTAATTCGGTGGTTATTATCCAGGAAAGATCCACTTGGGAAACCTTTTTACTGTAGACTACAATCTACTTCAAACCAGCATAATTACATTAATTCTGATTTCAACAAGACAAGGCAGTCTCTGATGGCTGCTGAGTGTGGGGATTTAAATAATTCCTGTTCAGTGATCTTACATATTTAATTTCTTCCTTCCTCTGTGGTTCTTTAACATTGAAAGAATAAGTTTAACAGTTTCCAAAGCTGTTTATGAGATTGAAGCTTTTTAATGCAGCATTTCTTTTTCCTCTCTTCTCCGTCTCTCTCCCACTGTGTCTCGTCCTCCCCCCTCCATGCTTCCCCCTAGGACAGCTTGTTGGTCTTGCGGTCAGACAAGAACGTAACGCTGAATGCCAGAAACGAACAAGGCCTGCTAACTGGTCAGCTCACAGTGGGTGAGTTTCCACTTCCTTCTTTGTGTACCTCTACACTACTACTGCTGGTGCCATTTCCATCCTGAAACTATAAATTGCTGCTTGCCTCACCTGCAAGGAAACACCTGCTGTGGAATGACTGTCTGCAATGTAGCCTAAAAGTAGTTTCAGTTTTTACAGTGCTGTGCAAAGGTCTCGAGCCATCGCTCATTTCATTATATGTTGCTGTTTGCCATTTTTGACTTTCTTGCCATTTTAAACTTTAACTTGTGCAAAAGTTAACCAGGCTTTTTAAAGGTTTTTAAAAGATTTTCCTTGGAGATTGGCTGCTTTTTCACTTATTTTCTGTTTTCCAATTTAAAATTGTATATTCAAGCACTTTATCACCAGCAGGCTGTCGCAAAAAGGCTTTTCATCATGTGTATTTATGAAAATTATGATTATGAGAACACATTTTGACAAGCATAAAATTTTGTTTGGAAACCCTACCTTCAAAAACTATCTTTAGTAGAAGAACAGTATCTGAAAGTTATGTTCTTAACAAAAGGAAAAAACTCCTGACACAGACCTGAGAGATTAGGCCACAGGTTCGACTCGAACCTTTGCTGCTCCATTTCATCCACAAGGCATATGGGCGCTAGCTCAACCAGTAACCTAAACAAGTGCCAAAGAAGCCATTCTTAAGGAAGCAAAACAAGGAGAAAAGGCTGAGTTCTGCCAAATTACAAAAGAACTGGAAAAGAAACACGCGATTAGATTTTGATCCAACATGTAATACAATCTGGAAAGCTTCTGATTGGCAACTCAATTCATTTTTCAACATGACCATGATCCAAAACACACTGCCAATGCAGTAAAAGAATACCTGGATAGAAGTAAACACACAGTGGTATGCTGTCCATCATGGATTGGCCTCCCCAGAACCTAGAGCTTCACGTTATTGAAGCAGTTTGGGATCAACTCGACAGAGAACAGAACAAAAAGCAGCCAACATCCAAAGAAGAGCTTTGAATGTCCTCTAAGAAGCCTGGAAAACTGTTCCTGAAGACTATTTAAATGACAAGAAAGCTGCCTAACAGTTCAGGCTGTGTTGAAGAATCACATTTTTTACTGACTTTCAAGCTTGTTAGAATTGTAGAATCTCTGTTTTTGGCTTATGAATGTTTTCCTAGTAAAATATGAAGAAATAAGACGCACTTCCAGACTATTGCACAGCATTGTATTCCTCTCTCTTTGTACAACTTATTATTGAAAAAACTGGTCTTGGATTAATCTGGCTATAGCTGTATAAATTACCAGATCAATACCATTTGTTGATGACTTCGTTTAAGATTAGCACAACAATTTATCTTAAAGTTCTCTTTAATGCTTCTACATCTTATTCGAGTAGTTTTTTTTCCAGACACTAACCTTTGATGCTCTTATTGAAAGAGCAATAGTTTCATCTCTTTATCATCAGGTTCAGCCATCAGTCAGACTAAATTACCAAAGTCATTTACATGATTAATCACCACTAGAAAGCAAATGACCTGCTTATTAACATTAATAGCTATTGATCTTAGCCAGCATAAGTAGAGAGTTGATGGTGATTTGACAAGACTGTTGATATGACACGTTTTGGTCACGCTTGACCTTCCTCTGAAAATTACGCCTGCTTTTGTGGGTACTGCGTTTTGTCTGAAATGAGATGAAACTCGGCGAGAATAATTAAATTCCCCAGCCGTCGGAGGGCATGGATTAATGGCAGAGAGAGGAGAAGAGAGCAAGAAAAGGAGACGAATTTTGTGCATGCACATCTGGAAAAACACCAAAGTCTGGAGAACAGGAATTAATATTCCTCACCAGCGGAACAGATTACTGATTTGTCTTCATTCATCAGAGAAGCATGGCTGATCCAGCTTTGTTAGGAGCCTTTCATTTGCAAAGCAAGCACTCCACAAAGTATTTCAGATTGCTAATAGTCTTACATGCACAAACATACTGTAGCTTCCCGGAGCAGATTTAAAAGACCAGAGTTGCATAAGTCAACCTTTATTTGACAGCGCTATTTTCAAAAAGTGAAAGTTGTTACCACTGCAGACTAATAAAACGTTTGAAGTGGAAATTTTTCTAATCGTAACTAAAATGTATAGTTAGATCTAGAAACATTCATAAAATACTGGAAAATGCAGTAGAGGTAAATGAATACAAATAGGCTGAATTGTTTCTTTGCCGTTAAATTGAGTGCACTCAGCAATAGTTTACTGAAGGTTTTCAATGGAAACTTGAGTATGTACGTCTCTCTTGCAGGTCCTGAGGCTGTGGAAGCCCAGTGTCAGAGGCTGGAGGTGCGAAGCAGAGACGGGGGCACACTTCTGTTCACTGCCGACGAGGAGGAGGTCATCATGGCAGCAGAAAAGTTCACAGTCACAGGTAAAACGGTGCTGGAGTCTCACTCAATTGTCTTTGGATATCTTAAATAAACTGTGATCAATGGTGTATTGTCTAAAACTAAAAGGGCAGATTTGAATCTTAAGTTTTTGTACTGTAGGTTTTCCCGGAGTATATTAGAAGTCCAGCACATTAATAAGTACGGCATAAGTAAGACTTAAGACTTTAATCCACAATATGTCAACACAAGTAATATACACTATCTGGTGATTTCATTTGGTACACCTAGGGCTGTTTGATATAACGATATATATCGGATGAC